CATGTCTTCGCCGCCAACATTCCGGTCGTGTCTGTCGACAGTGTCTTCAAATCCGTCACTTTCTCGACAGAAAATATTTTGGACCAAAGCTGCGAATCGATGCCACTCTTCGACTTCTCCAATGCTGCGGTCACGGATGAGATCACCGAAGATGTCTCTCGCACTGCGCTCACCAATGCCTCCACTTCTTCGGTGGCCATCTCATGGAAGGGTTTGGATGGCGTCACTGTCTGTGTCGGCCGTTGTGGCGCCACATTAGCGCTGGTCTTGTCATCAGTGCTGATGGTTATTGTAGTTGTCTTTTGGTCCTCGTCTTTGTTTGCGTTCAATCTCTTCGCTATCCGCGGATCCATTCGTTCCGATGTATTCAGTGGTCTCTTAAATGAATTTTGTGGCGGATTTGGTGCTGAAGTTTGCGGTCTATTCGGTGTAAAGCTTTGGAGTCTATTTGACGGTTGAACTAATGGTAACTTTCGTTGTTGTGGTGCGCTTTGAGGTGTCTTTTGGGATGTAGTGATCGGTGACTTCACGGGAGTCCTAAGCGATGGCTTTGGCGGTGCCTTTGTGTCGACCCTCACGCCAAGTCTTGACTTAATTGATGGCTTAAGCGTCGATTTAACTGAAGTTGCGGTTCTTAGCGGCGCTTTAGATGAGTTGCCAAACGATGTCCGCAATGATCTCCTCAATGGTGTCTTTTGTCTGCCACCAAAACTCTTCGAGCCTTAAGTGAACAAAATGTTTGAATAGATCTCATGAATCACTACTCGTATGACATTTGAGATGAGCGCTCAAAACGTTTTAAAATTGAATCAATGGTTAAAAACAGATGTATTTTGTACTCAATTAAACAAATATCACAAATGAGTCAAAGTTTCAAACATAAACAAATCCATGTGTTTGTCAGCCAGGGATCGATTACTAAGTTTATAGTATTCACTAAACTATTCATAGACTGAATCAATAAATGAATTTCAAATCTACAGCTAATCAACGATACAAATCACAACCAATTGATAGATAAAGAGATTAATACTAATCTAATCCGAAAGCCATGTCTTCAAAAATCAAACAAAAAACCGGATTTACTCGTGGAGTCAGTCATAAACAACTTGCAAAACAAGACAATTGGCGGCAAATTAAGTGTTAAATTAGTGATAAAACGAGGCATACATTTGGGTTTGAGTCTCCTTTTGCTCTGATGTGCGACCATTTGGATGATATGACCGGTGGTGTCGTCCACAACC